CACCTATATGATCTTTCCAGTATTTTTTATTGATGTATTTTATTAGTTATCTACATCTACCGTCTCAAATGATTCCATGCTGTATATGGCCACGAAATAAATGTTACTTGATTGAAGATGAAACATATCATAAAGTTAGATACGTATTATAATATATACTTATAAAATAGCCATGGTTCAGTGTAATTGCTCGTTGCCCCATAATAGCCCCGTTTAGTGAAAAGAGCTCGGCATTCCTAGACAAGTGGCCAATTTGTTATACTAATGATTTAAAAGGCGATGTTTTGCACCAAAGACCGCGCGAAGTGCTCACGCCGTTTCATATAAAATTCCGTAGTTATGGCCTTCCTCATTCTAATCGTAAACATGAGGTTGTGATTAAGGCACTTGTGCGTGCGACTAATAAATCAGCCGTAACTGGATGCGATCGGACGCAATAACAAAGTAGCGTTAACTAGCACGCTTTTTATTAAATATATGCATTCGAACAGTGACGAACGAACAAACCGAACACTAACGTATCACATAATATTAAACATGCACAGAAACGCGGTCGCAGGCGGTAAAACCGCAGCGGGTATACGCTAAACGTTCGCTCGTGCTCGGCATAACGAACGCGCTATAATGAAAGAAGAAAAAGTTGCTAATTGTTACTAAATCCCTTTTACGTTGATACGTTGACGCACATTTCTACCATTATGTCTAAACAATGGTGTTGAATGATTTACGGGTGGACTGGGTTTTTCAATACTCATACTTGATACATTTTAAACGTATAATACCTTAAAAGTCTTGAGATACATTTTCACGACAGCATATGCTTCTTTAAAGCATTTAAATACTATATATATTCAGATATATATTTAAAATATCTAAATATTTAGATATTTGTGCGCTCTCCTTAATATACAGAGTGTGTTTGAAATAAGTAGCACGCTTTGGAGGATGTTAACTAAATGGAATAGGGAACAAAAAAAGAAAACCAACCGAGACCGGCCCTGGGCGTGATTTGACAACGTACAAAGAAATTGCGATACAACTAAGCAGTTACATCAATGACACTTAATCTAATCTAACAAACAACAAACAATGGATGACCACAAAAGTATATACAAAAGAAATACAACAAGGATGCTGCTGGATAATTAGCAGCTGATCGAATACGGTTTTGCAAAGTTGTATTTCCTGCGTGATCCTACCAGGATGTCACTAATCCTTAACTGTACTTTCAAATACGTTTTTTACCTGCTATTAGTGAAGGCGTGAGGGGTTGAAAAAAATATTGAACTGAATAAACAAAGTTTATAAATGGTTTATTTTGCGCTACATATATAACACTACCAGTTTTGCCGGCGTAGTCAGGTCAAAAATTGAAATCTAAAAATTATTTGTAGCGAAATAACTCTAATGTTTCATATCTAAACGTCAGGGAGTTGCAAAATGGCTTTTTCTGTGGTAACGGTCGTTAATCAGTAATTCGAAATTAACTGGAAGGTGAAAAAATAGGGAACGGCTGCATGTAAAATGGTGCATGTGAGTGTCATTTATAATGCCTCTCTTATGGGTTNCCCATACTAATATCTGGTTTTACCCTTAATTGCTTTCTCTTGAACTCTTTACTGCTTTAATTCTGCGTATTCCTAGAAACTAGTGTCTTCACCCTCTCTCTCACTACTTTTCGTTCTAGAACATTCCATCAAAATTACTAACAACCCTGTCCTATAAATAGTCCAAAATTTCTTATCTCACACAGTCTCTCGTCTACCGCTTCTCCTAACATTCGTTAGTGCTTTTATCTACTCTGTTTTATTGTTGTTGCCTTTGTTATTGTTATTGTTACTATTGTTGTATTATCTTGTTCTATCTGTTACTTTGTTCTCCTTTGTTTGTTTCACTCCTTGTGCTTTCTTGTTAGCTGTGTTTTCGTTTGTTATTGTTATAAATTGTTATTTGTTATTAGTGTTTTCTTGGTACTCATTTAATTAAACACCAAAAGACACTAAATATTTATAAATATACGACAGTCTGTTTTATTACTCCAAGTATTTTACTGTTATTTTCAATTTTAACATGTAGGTACCTATGTAAAGTACACGTTTATTTAAATAATTATGTCAAACAAGTAGTTCTTAATAGAGAAAGTCTACTTCTCTCAGAGAAATAACTAAAAATTAGCAATGGGCGCTTGCATTAATTTGTGGTGTTGTATACGAGCGATTAAAATTGTTTTCCGGTTCTCAGTTATCGGTAATGAGAGTAGGTACCTAGGTAAGATTTAAACGAGCCTAAATTGTGTTTGCATTACGTAAAAAACTTCCCTCGTCTGTAGTTCAGTAAAACGTGACCATGTAAATTCACAATTTTTTCAAAGTAACGGTTCTCAACTAAGACTGACGAGGATGTACATCAGGTCATGTAATTGCGGTCAGATTTTCATGCTTTGAAGTTATTAATGAATCGTGTGAACAAGCTAACGTTTTTTTCAAACACGATCTTGAGACGAATTAGACGAGCACCTAGGAGCAATTTTCAGAAAACAGACAACATGATCCATTCGGATATTATTTCCCACCAACTGGTTAGCATAAATTAACACTTTTAATACAATAATTTGTTTAACAATATTGATATGAAAATTGTTTAGAATTGCTGCACTTTAAGGCAGGCATGTACAGTAAACAAGGAAAATCTAAAACATGAACGTTCCCATAAACCAGTCAATTTTGATTATTTTTAATTAAAGAGTTTTCGACTTCTAACTAGATTATTACAAGCGGAATGTTTAATTTTTATAAGTGAGTATCCTCGTGTCACGCAGTGAAGTTTCAAGGAAATTCAAAAAACCATTTTAGCCTTCAAAACATATTTCAAAACTAATTAAATATTTCATAATTATAACGTTGCTATTCTTTTCAAATTCATTAAACGGACATCGAGTTCATTTACTGGCAAAATAATCGTATTTGGCATTACACAGCAACGAAGCAGTAAGTGAAAACAATTATCGATTTAGATACAAGCAGAATTTGACGCCAGTTCGATAGCTCTGGTCATTGGGAAAATTATTGAACTTCGCGAAGTCATCAAAAAGGACTTCGTCGGTTTTTTTTCATTAAATCAGCTAAACCAGAGAAACTTCTGGAACCAGCGAATGACCCATGTTGAACTATGGACAAATAATCACTGGTTCATCAAAAAGTTTAGCGCATGAACGGGGATCGATAGTCTGATCGCAATCAGTCCGGAACGCGAAGGAATAAAGTCTACCCTTAAAAGAGTAACAGGTGGCAAACTCTGAGTGTTGGTGACACTACCCCCTGGACGATGATGATTGCGGCGCTCATATCAATGTAAGTAGACCTCTTAACTAGTTTTTTGTGTATTAATCTACATCGGGAGGAAGATCCTTTTCGTAAATGTTCTTTTTTCATTCTCAAATTCTCTAAATTATTTTATATAATAAAGTTGTTATTGTTTTCAAACTCGCCTATCTTATCATTTTAATACCTTATCCCCAGTCACGCTAAAATAATTAATTTGCATTAAAATCAGGTAATTAAAATAAATAATTAACAAATTACCTATGCGACATAGATGGTGGATACACGTTTCTAAACTGAGCGTGATATTCGGATAATGTCATTTTTATAAAAAAATTCCCAGCATGTTTACAATGAACCGTTTTTAATACAATTTATTTGATGATACTAAAGTAATTCATTTTGAGGTGGTATTTTAGGAAGTTAATAATGAAAATTTAAATCAAATTTGCCAATAATATGACAAGAGTATATACTCAAGCGATACACAAAGTAATGGTGAATTCAAAAACTGTAATTTCTACGTTTTAGAAATGGATATCGCCAGTTTTGCAATTAATATTGAATTCCATGTCCAAAATTGGGGGTAACTTGATAAAACTATGTGTCTGATTCCAATATTTCAGTTGTTTAAGAACAAATTGATAAAGACATTCGCGGCCAGTATATAAACTGATGCTATTGTCCTGATTCGGATCTAAAAACCGTCGTCGCTTAAAGTTCCTTCCTAACGTTTCGTTAATACGAGTGCGAGCTTATTCAGAGATCTTTTCACCGATGAAGAAACTCGCCTTTTGACCAGAATCAAGACAACATCTGTTTAAGAACAATTATTCCAGAATTTTTCTTAATCTTTGAAGTTGTTTGATTTTTTCGAATCCTCCTTTACCTTCTAAAAGTCAACGTGGGACACCTCTGCGATTCTTATAATTACACGTACAGATACTCTAAATCAGCTTTGATTTGATTTTGTTTCTTAAAATAATATACTTGTACTCGATTCAGTACACTATAGAAGTAACTCCTTACAGGAAGCCGGCGAATAAGAAAAATGATCGACTTATCGGCTATCATGGCAAGTAAAATCGAACACGCCGACATACATTTCATTTTCAGATCCGTGACATGTGAATCATTATTTCTTTGGTTTCGAAGCCCTTGCGTGCTGGCATCGAGGAAATTCGATACTGGTTAATACCGATAAGTAGAAAACTTCACGACCATCAATTCGTTTCTGAATACGGAAGAGCGGATTGCTTGCGTGATTGCATATTCTTTTTAATTGCGAGTTAGACACTTAATAGGATCCATTGAAGAAGATGTTAAGGAACAGTTTTGGTACGGACGCCGCTCCGAGGGCCACGATTTGTAACCGTCAATCTTCACGTCACTTCTCGTTACAAATTTTAACAAACTATTACATGTCCAAATACAAGCAGTGTGCACACACACGACCACGTGTGCTTGTACGAATGAAAACAGAATTGAAATAAGCGGCTCATTGCTGTGCTAAGGATGTAGGTAAACGTATGTAACGTAAGAGTATCTATAATTTCTATTCAAATAATCTGCTGTCTTCGACTGTGGCCAAAGTGCTGATGAGTAGGAATTTTGAGAAAATCAAGTTGACCGATGGGCACAATTGAAAAAGGAATTTAATAGTCGTAAAAATTTACTTACTTGGAATGCGAGAATAGTGATTCTGTATGTTGAATATGGCCACAGGTGGAATAGTGTGGAGATCTCTTCTAATACGTAGTAGGTAAACATATTCAATTCCGTTTCTGTGTTTGAACTTTTTTTATTAACAGTTAGATGATGTTATATTTTGCACTAATCCGAAAGGACATCTCCAGCAGAATCGATTATGGAGATTCTGAAACAGAAAAATGTTTAATTAGTGACTTCCTCCCTGACAGTTCAAGATTAAAGGCTTTCAATTTTAGAAAATGTTCCTCTACAGTTGTCGACGTAAATTCGCTTTAAAAGAGTTTGCAGAAATCGTGGAAAATTATTGATGTAATACGTAAATCGAAATTTCAACGAGTGTTGATATAAAATAGAGAGAAAATTCTACAAAAAACGTAAATATTTATAAGAAATCGATTAAGATGCTTTCATTAATCTACAAGCTCTTGGTAAAAGGAAAACTGTCATCACATAGGAGCCTAGTTTGCCGCTTCAAGCGGGGGATAAATTGTTAAAACATCGACATCGTTTGAGAAATACAAATTTTCATTTAGTATATTCATTCTTTGTTTATCATGAACTTTAAAAAGATTCAAATTAATACATCGGAACGAACACATAATACCATGTCGTTTATCGTTGTTAATAAATTATGAACTCGTCGTACCTGTAAGTGTGTGCGTGTTCGTGGACGTGTCTATCGGTTCATCTACAAACACAAACGTAATGTTTGGTGAAAACGCTATATTGAGAATGCGCGTGACTACAAAATAGCGGGTGGCTGATCTACACGAAGAGACAACGCCTAGTTAACCGTACACTAATTAGAATAGTTGATTTTTTTTTATTCTTTCTGCCACTTCTATCCACAAATGCAGCAACAACTAAATTCACATACGGTGACTAGCTGCTAGAGATAATTTAGAATATCATGAACCTTGGCCTTGGATTACACAGTAACAAAACTCTACTCGTTCATTGATTGCTTCATTTCTGCATCTTTTTACAGTTTACCTGGAACTCCATCTCCATGGTTGTTTAGAGAATAAATGGATAAAATCAATAGAATAATAGCCGCGTTAATATTTTCCAAATATATAATATGAATAGGAAAGCTCGTCTTTCGTGAACCTGAAGGTCCATGTATCAGTCTAAACTGTCTATAATCTGTTTGATGCCGAAGAACAACTAATAAATGTAAAAACAGCAAATATTTTACAAAATATTAGACATTTGAACGTGCTGATAGCATTCGACTACTGAGCATTTGTAATAATTGGAGAAATACTAAATTATCCAAAAGCTTTCCGAGGCTTTCGCGGCCAGTAGGTGAACTGATGCTGTCCTGATTCGGATCTAAAGCAACCCCTTTTTAATAAGTATACGATTTAAATGATTAAAGTTTGTATCAATTTAAAGTTACTTAATTCTTATATTTTATGTTTGACGCAAAACAACTAAAACTAATGTATCAAATGGAATTAATTTAATTTTTTTCTCCACAATAGTATATCATATTGAGTAGTCCAATATTCATCCCACAATTGTATAACATTCGTGCATAATTAGTAATCAGTAAATTGTTGGAACGAAATCACCAAAATAATTACACCACTGGCACTGGCTGTAAACTAAGAAATCATTTCAAATTGCGTAGTTACTTATGAACAATTTAACGGCTAGAAAATCAGATGCACCGGTAAGAAATTGCGACTAAACTGTGAAGGGTAATAAATATTCGTTGTTCGTTTAGTGCATTTTCGCGCAGTTTAGTTTGGTCAAAAACAAGGAATAAGAAACTAGTAAATGCTGTTTATCTTCGCAAAGCAAATACCCGAGTTATTTATTAGTTAATAAACGCCTAATGAACTTGCACTACCCTGATCAGCTTTTAAATTATCATTAGTGCATGTTATACGTAAATACAACTGTTTAAATAGTGAAATAAAAAGACATAAATTAATACGTGGTAAGACAGTAGATATGAAATATGAATGCACACTTGGTGGAAGGAAAAGAATTTAATGCAAAATTTTATAATACAACATACATACTTACACTACGTCTGATCAATATTCCGAAATATTAAAAGGGTAAGCATATGTTAATAGCATCACAAGGTAGGGGATGAAAAAAGTATGCACAAAAAGTACCCCAGTTAACGAGCCGTTAATGATTAAGAAACTTATGTATATGTATATCACTGAGTGGTGCGAGAAGGCCCATATTTCTTTTTCATATACGTTCTTCTCCCTGAATATTTTCGGAGTGGATAACTTTTTTTTTTAAGGAACGGTGGAAATATTAGTGCTTCTTCTGTGTAAATGAAAGACAAGCTTTATGCTTTTATTGGGAACTGTGTTGACTTTCTGTGTATGGAAGTGCAGTTCAGACTTTTGTAAGAGTTGAAGCGGAAAAACTATTGGATGTTTCGTTCCCACTAGCTAATGGTGGATGAATGGGGGTGATGGTTAGGGTAAGAAAGATGAGACAGACGGAACAAAATAGTTTTTTTTATTTTCATAAAAGGCAGGACCTCCGCTTCCTTAAGTTGTTAGTAATTAAGGAAGCTGGATAAGGTTATCCCTGAAAGTGTCATAAAATGGATTTTATTCCGCTAAACGATCAAAATGAATCACTATGGGACAGGATCGTATTGAAATAAACGAATGGTTTTAACTTATCCGTTTCAGGTAAGCATTAAGCATGTCTCATGAAACCAAAACTTATTTTTGTCGAAAATCCACTTTTACCAATACATATAAGATTTTAACGACCGTTGTTATTCATTAGATAAATACAGTTTTGTTGAAACCAAGAACGTAAAACATCAGAGTACACGCGTCGTAAACCGTCCAACATACCTCAACTCAAACCATGTGAATAATTTCGGGCTGTTATGCTGGACATGCATGCCCATAAATCATTATAATTTGGCAACAAAGTGACTTTCTAAAGAGACAGCGCAATAACACACACCACACTAAAAGACTCTGGTTCAGTGGACTATGAAATTGCGCATTGTATGAATATACATACGTCTATATGTGTGTGAAAACCAAACGAACTGCTTGACACCGTTTATATTTTGAATACTTCAATGTGCCTGGTTATTTCCGTCTTGCAAAAATTTTGGATCAAAAATACAAGTTGATCTGCCTCAAATGTTTTCGCGATTTATCGTTACTGCCAAGCGAACCGTTCGTGTGTTATGAAAGGCAAACGTTTGTTATGTGACATCATGACCTGTTGATAATAACAATTTATACCAATCAAAAAAGTAAGTAATGTTAGTGTTTTTAGAATGATCGATAGATACTTGTGATGGTTATTAGATTTTTTGGACTAAATCTTTACGTTATAAGGGAAATGTCCTGACACTCTCAGTGTGGAATTTTAATTTCACTTATATCCTTATCCTTTGAACATTGCGCCTAATATTATTTTACAGACTAATTTATGCTAACTGTCGACGCTATACATAATTGCTCTTTTAATGTTTAATAAACTTTCAGGTCGGTAGATTCTTTGATGTTAACATTTACTGTAGCGACACGACGAGCTATTCCACTTGTTGTATGAGTTGGTATAGGGTCTCTGTAAGTCCCTATAGGACCGCTTGTTGTTGGGATGGCGATTAGTACTTAATCAACGAAGATCAACTTGGGTTGACTTCATCACTTTTGCAGTGATAATCATTTTCATTATATACAAAATACTACGCGGTAGCTGTCATTCAAACTCGTTATAAATCTAACACACACGGGGTAGGTTGACGCGAGGGAAGAACCCGCTCCCAGCGACTTAGCTTACCCGTCGAAAAGGTTCCTTTTCTGGTGCGACCCCGACACCTTCAGTGACAATTGCTTGGAAAGCTCAATAGGCGCTGCAAAGTGAAAAGGCAGTGGCTCTCCTATGGGTGGTTGCTCTCTACGCCCGTGTCTAAGGTAAAGTGTCCTGGGGGAACAGGTTCCTACGTGAAGCGTGTAGAAAAAAGCAGCTATACGTAGATTGGGGGTGCAGACTGGCCTAGTAGGGGGATGCACATTTCGAGCGGAAGCATAGTAGAAGCGAAAAGACTTGTAGCTCGGGCTAGTCAGAGGCTGAAAGGTGTTCGGGTATCTCAGGGGAGAGAATGCCCCTGGGTCTAGCTGGGTCTAGCTTCCGTCAGATTTGAGGAGGCAGTTGATTGATAACCTATATCCACCCGCTTCGTTCGTAGTCTCAAAATTGAACGCTTTAAGATTTGGATGAACCTGAACCTGGAAGTTACTTGCCTCGTTAACTCTCAGGTACAACAGTTGCCTCCTGAGACGAATCCGTCAGACGGAGGGGAGACCTCAGGATGTTCCTCATTCCATTCTGATTTGGTTGAACGTATCTTATTTCAGAGCCCATGGGGCAAGGCAGGATCACCATTTTATACCAAATAAACTGGATATAACCCTCCTACAATATTAATGCGATGACTATTAATTCATTGGAGTACCTGCCTGCTAACATGAGCGGCATTCCGCGAAGTCAGCAAGTTCATCGTCGAACAACGTTGAAGAGAATATGACAGGTTGATGTTACGAGTACATACAACATGTGTAGTAAGTACTCTAACGTTGTAACCAAAATACACATTAACAACCTTACCTACCGCACATACCTTCAGACTGCACGTTCGCCGCCTACTGTCAAGGACGCTCTTTAATGACGTAGCTGTAATTTTAATCGAAAAGTTGCTAAAACAGATCCGTTAATAACGAGTACAGCAGTCAGGACACATGCGTAGAGTACCGTTCAATAAAAATATCGCATGGCATGTCTAAGTAAGGTACGACCAATAGACGGGACTACGCTGTGATGAAGACAGAAATGTCGAACGGTCCCGGTGATGAATTGGAACCATTTTTTTTTCTTGAAACGGCACATATGTGTTAATTTCAGCCATCTGACTCTTTTAACGAATGACTTGATCTGTTCGTGGGAATGCTATTTTTACATTTACTGAACCACCAATTAGACAAATGCCAATTTATACAGACATAAGAGAAAGTGTACAGATTTCCCAAACGTTTCAGAGAAGTTGCTAATAGAGTTTCTAATTATTTATTTAACTCAGTTTAGTCGATCATTTAATGCAACAATTTCGCCGAATTCATTCCTAGCTGAGACAATATAAATATATTCACACCCGAATTGTAATAATATTTATAAAGTAGTTTATGTATTCTTCTCCGGTTCTTAAGTGCAGATTAGAAAGAAAACACTTGACTAGTTTCACAAATACTTAATTTGGACTTGACAATATTATTTCTGCTACTGTGCTAATAGTTAGAAAAAGGAAAATAGAGGATAATTTTTCCATTATGAAAATGACATAACCGTCCTACACAATACCGTCTAGTGAGATTTTGATATTGGTGAATTTAATAAAGCACACCACGTGGTTTTAACACTTTTATTTAATTTGTTATTTTATTTATATATGTGGAACTACTCTTTGGGACACTAACGGGTAATAAATTATCCCAACACTTCAGATTTAATAATTTAATGTAAAAACAAATTTCCTGTAGGCGCACTTAACAGATAAAGAGCAAATATACTACGAATATAAACATAAATCTATCTGCGTACAAAGAGTAATTGTTTCCACAATTAACCTTGAGGCAGTCCCGTCCTAAAGGCGAAACGTCGCTATTAGTTGTTGGTAAATAAATTTCTTCTTGGCTTAGATTCTTGCATTAACTAATACAGTGTAAACTCTATATAATGACACTCAAGGGACTGAACATTTTTCGGCGTTATAAAGAGTGGTCGTTAAATGGAGAGAAATAAAAGATATTATTTTACTATTCTATAATAATATGCATTTACCAATATAGTACACATTTTGCACACGAACATTATTATTCATACATTGCGTATAGCCTGTTATCTTCGTCTGATGTTTTTTGCTGCTCCAATATTTTAATTGTATTTTGTTACGTATCTTACTCATATCTTGAGATACTGCTGGATCAATTTGATTATATAAAAAGTATTTTTTTAATAGTTTCGCTGCATCAAGTGCTTGTTTGATGCTTGGTGGAGGGACAGGATCGTCTTCTTCAACAACGTACACAGCTGCAGTTCTTATCTATTTCGGCAACTTAGAAAGTACTGCTTAATGATTTATAATGCCGCATTGTTGTCGTTAAATAGAGTGAGCGTGACGCTATATAGAGTGTAATATTGTATAGAAAACAATGTAAACCAACCAAAGTCAAGTAATTTCGACGTTTTAAGGAGTTTGTCGTTAAATCGAGTGACGTTATAAAGAGTTTGTTTTGTGCAGTCGTAAGATAAAAAATTATCCGGAGACCGCTCGGAAGTTGCGTTACTGAACTACCGTTCTACTAGAATGTTTTAAATAAAACTAGTAGCGAATTTGAGTTGATGTGTTTAATTAGAAGGTTTCTTACATACTAACTAACAATATTAAATTTACTTAAAAGCTAGAGAACAAAGAAAGGGGGTGGAGTTTAAATGAAACATATCATGGTGGTGGATAAATGAAGGAATTTCCTGAATGTCGTCATAGACGAGAGGGTGTTCAACCAGATACAGAATGGTTCTGAAAACAGGTATGAATGAGCTAACAATGCCAGGTACTAGTGATGGAAAAACCTCATTTATGCTACCAGGAATTATTGAATTCATAACGTACATTTTGTCTGCATGACAATGAAATTATTCTAAAATATTATAAAACCAAATAATAAAGTAAAGGAATTTATGACTTAAAATGTTTGAAGAAATATTATAAAGCTGAATTTAACAAAGGAACAAAGAAATTTGAAATGTAATGAAGGTAATTAACAATACTAAATCTAACTAAAAATAATTGTAAAAACATAGATAAGTATTAGGACTAAACATCCCGCCGCCCTTGAACCGATAGCGTTCAAAAGAACTCACACGCGCATATACACAACACACACACAGTTCTTCACTTTGGTCACTAGAAAGAATAGTCAGTAAGTCGCCAATAGGGAAATGACTGGTGGGTTTTAAAAGGTCGTTTGGATCTGAGGAAATGGGTGTAAGGGGGCGCGAGTTAAGTATTGCCTCTACTTCGGTGTTTGTAACTTGTATTAAACTGTGAAGTTCAGGTGAAAAAGTTTCTTTTTGAATTAATTTGATTATAATGAGTTTTGCTAAGGTAAACGCTTCTGTTGATAATGGTCCAGCATTTTTTACGACCTTACTACTGTTTCGAATAAATCTCATGCAGTATAATAGAACACGCACAAATTCTGTCCAGGAAGAAAATTTTGTTAAAACAAAATAACCGAAGATTGCAACACTAAGTGCGATGACAGGTTTTTTCTCAGGGATTTCAGTAGAACAAATGCGGTGTCTTGGCCAATGACCTTTTTCTTTCAAAAGCCATGAGGGTCTTTGATTCCATAGAGAGCTTGAATCCAGTTGCAATATGTTTTCGTCACAAGAAAGAATATCTACGGGGTTGTCTACAGATGGAACATGTCTCCACTGGCGAAAGCTTGTATGCGATTGAATATACCATATTCTATTTGCCACAAATGTCGTAAGGGTATGTGGCGCTGAATTAATCCACCAAAGTACAATTTCTGAATCAGACCACAACACAATGTTGTTAATATTTAGGTGTTCTAATGCCTTGATGCTTGCTTTAACTGATTTAACTAAAACAACAGTTGCGCATAGTTGAAGGCGCGGTAGAGAGATCGTTCTTATGAGTGCCACGCGTGATTTAATTTCAGTTTGACTGCAACCTTTTTTCTAGCGAATAGAGTCTACGTAGCGTTGTTTTGTTTGATTTTCCAAGATCTTTTACATATTCTTTGAATGGAAGCTTCATAATGTATTTCCCAGCGTCATCCCTTTGTACATGTTCATGAAAATGTGCCACGCACGCCTTTTCGTTTGGTGAATTGAATATTATTGCAGGTTCCTCTTCAATTTCCCAGAATTTGGAGATTTCTTCATTAGGATTGTCTACGTTGAGATGACAACCAGATTGTTGTATGATGCAACTGTCGGTGAACGCTGGTCCTCCAGAAAGCCATTCAAGTTGGGAATCGTCTGGTCGTTTAATTGTTGGTGCTGTGAAGACTTCATTTACGTGTTCTAAAATAATCACCCGTTCGTTACTGTAACGCTCCTGTAAAAGCGACCATGCCACTTGGTAATTATCTTCCGATAACTCCAACGAATGAATGAGATCCGCAGCCTCTGCCCTAACACATGAACGTAGATAATGCAATTTATGAATAACTGGAAGCGCTGGATTGCTGTCAATCATCGAAATAAATGAATCGCGAAAATTTAGCCATTTGTCGTAAGATCCGTCAAACGTAGGAAGTTCAATCTTCGGTAACCTGCAGCTTACGTGAACATCTTGGACTGTAGACGGTGATAAGGAATTATCGGCTAACTGTCCTGCTGTGGAATTTGAGGATGGTTTCTGGTAGCGTTTTATGAGTTCGTTTGCTGCCTCTACACATTGGTACCAAAGGGTTTCGAAGTCCGCTCGTTCATGTTCTTCTTTCGATGATGACTCGCCAATACTTTCGATCTCCGCCAATTCAATTTCTTTTTGAATCCTTTGAAAGTCGTNTCGTTTGCTGCCTCTACACATTGGTACCAAAGGGTTTCGAAGTCCGCTCGTTCATGTTCTTCTTTCGATGATGACTCGCCAATACTTTCGATCTCCGCCAATTCAATTTCTTTTTGAATCCTTTGAAAGTCGTCCCAAGTGTCCATTATGCGACTTAACTGTGCCTTGAGTGCTGGTATCTGTTTAGATTCTTTACATTCTGCCACTGATTTTTGAAACCTTGTAAGTCGCGCCTTACAAACACCTCGTCGATGATTTAGGGTTTTGATTTGCAATTAGACATGATGATGATTTGCAGATTACTTAACTCGCGAAGAAATAAAAAGGAAAAAAAAGGAAAAAAGACGACTTAAAGACTTACTACTGAGAAGTTCTCTGATGGCTGCTTTGATGATCGATGTTCAGGTGAATTACTCTCCTTGGTTGAATCCTGTAGACTTGGTATCGTAGTAGCTGTTTAGATTTCTGGCGTTTTTTCAATTCACAAAGAACACACAATGTTTGTTGAATAAAACTTACTGCTTGTAGCGTAGAAAGAACTGTTTTTCGCGACACTAACTATCGGCGTAACTGTAACTTGATTTAAGTATTTGTATTTCCGTAGATCTGATGTGTATTAGTATATTCGAATTGTATTAGTAAATCCGAATTATATTACTATATCCGGATTGTATTAGTAAATCCGGCTCGAAGGACCAAAATGTTTTGTGCAGTCGTAAGATAAAAAATTATCCGGAGACCGCTCGGAAGTTGCTTTACTGAACTACCGTTCTACTAGAATGTTTTAAATAAAACTAGTAGCGAATTTGAGTTGATGTGTTTAATTAGAATGTTTCTTACATACTAACTAACAATATTAAATTTACTTAAAAGCTAGAGAACAAAGAAAGGGGGTGGAGTTTAAATGAAACATATCATGGTGGTGGATAAATGAAGGAATTTCCTGAATGTCGTCATAGACGAGAGGGTGTTCAACCAGATACAGAATGGTTCTGAAAACAGGTATGAATGAGCTAACAATGCCAGGTACTAGTGATGGAAAAACCTCATTTATGCTACCAGGAATTATTGAATTCATAACGTACATTTTGTCTGCATGACAATGAAATTATTCTAAAATATTATAAAACCAAATAATAAAGCAAAGGAATTTATGACTTAAAATGTTTGAACAAATGTTTGAAGTTGAACTGACCAAAGAAATGTAAATAAAGTAAATAATAACACTAAATCTAACTAAACGGAAAAGTTTTCGATTTAAAATGATTGTAAAAAATATAGATAATTATTAGCACTTAACANGAAATTTGAAATGTAATGAAGGTAATTAACAATACTAAATCTAACTAAAAATAATTGTAAAAACATAGATAAGTATTAGGACTAAACAGAGTTTACACTGTATTTCTAATCCAAATTTAGTATAATTAACACGGCAGAAGACCACATACTTTCACATATATTAGTATGTAAGAATGTAACACAATGCTTATATTCCTAACTTCGAATGTAAATTTTAATTTAGTTAATTTCATTTTGCTTCAGTGCTTTGTTTTATTGACGTGTCTGTATTAGGTAATATAAATGCGAAAACTATTGAAAATTATGATATTCGATAGGAAAGTTTTCTGCATTGGAAACTTTCACTGTTTTGATTTCAATAGGAATTTTAAAGCATCATCTCTTCGGAAGAATCGAGGTTGTCAATCAGTGCGCTGGGAAAGATGAATGGACTCTGAGACATGATATAGAACTATTTGGTTGCCGTATTTGCGTTATGTAGGTACTATTCTCGAACGTGCCAGCAATTCTTGGAACGCAAACTGCACTTTCCGCCTGCAAGATCCATATTTGTAAATCTTAATGATAAATTTATCAATAAAACATAGTGCGTGCTTAGACAAGCTGAAAAGATGGATTTTGCTCTCTGAGCGTTTTCGTAGGGTACTTGCTACCGAATGGCCTGGTCATGGCGTGCCTGTTTGTTGTGAAAGCACGTCACGAATATAAAATCCGTCGTTTAACATTTCTTACCGGCTTCATTGCGTTAAAACGCTCAACTTAACATTTTTTAGTGGCAATTTCTACTGTCTGGAATGCACGCATGTCTTCTAATGCGACATACACACAAAGTAAAGAAAAAAACTTTTAAGTATGTTGTATGTAAGATTTGGTTTACACAAGCACATATACGGTAGCGAAATATTAAGGATAAATTATAATAATTTGATAAATCCTTGAAAATGTATTATCTAAGATGGAAAATAAATACGTAATTTAAAAGCTACGAATTTTTGAGAACTGATGTGCTTGAATTAAAAGTATTCAATGACATTTTACTCTTTGCCCAAGATCCTCTAAAAGACTAGGATTCCATTACATACTACTTACTGTATATACATATTTAAGAACCAAGCTATTAATACAAAATACTAGAAATTATTCAGCGTTTTTACATTGGGAAAACCGAATTTTGTAATTTGTCGTTCGATCATCAAGACTTGAAAATTCTTGAATTTATTTTCCAAAATTGCACAAGATTGGGCAAATTACAAATTAACGAAAACTTGCTTGTGTCCTATAGATATTAGACATAAGTTATGCGTACCTAATGCTACAGAAAAAAAAAACTTATTAAAGCCTGATGCATTACTACCGGTCAAGTTAATTCACCACAGCATTTCTTTTCAATGATTTTTGATTTGACTTGACCGTAACATAGTCAATAGTATACTTCGTTTAGTTCCTGTCGCGATGTGACCTTCAGTTTGACTGGCGCAAAGTAGAAAAGAACAACACTAGGCCAGAAAAGAAAGGAGACAACTCTCGGCCAAATTCTCAACCGGTAAGGAGCGTTTAATCCATACAGTACTGCACGGAAAAAATGATCATTTTATCCACTACAATTACATTGCTCAAATGTGCTGTTATTGGTATCAATTACTACTGAAAATATCAACGAGATATTTATTTATATTTGAAGACATATTAAAGGCTTTAACGCTTGTTTTCGACTCGCACAACTATTCATGATTGAACAAAACTTTGGGCAGATACTGTATGAAAAAGTATGTTAAATGAACAAGAGCCGAGAGAGAGTATAATGAGCATTTTTCTCCCTACCTACGATTTTGTCAGCGCGCATCCAAGACATTGGAAGGGGCAGATCGCCAGAGAATGTAAATGAAGTATAAGAATTGGGATTTAATGTTCAGTATGACTTCTGTTATCTGTTATTAAAATAGAAAATCTAACATCGTGTTTGTTCTCATAATAATCATCAAGAATTGAAAGCTCTCTTGATTCAACTGAAAATTCGACAAAAAGGCAAGGATTTTCAATATTTTTTTATTTTTATAATAGTTAGTTGCATGCAATCAACAACCAGGGTAGTGGCCACTACTCGCTACGTGTCGAACAATTTCAGGAAATGAAACTAAAGAGGTTAACTAATAAGGTGCAACTTAATTAAATGAATTTCAAGGAAATTATATTACGGTCCAGTCAATTAATTATGGTAATCACAAACCACTTAGGTGTCGTGGGCATATGCATACTGACCTAAACGTGGTCGATACATGAGGAGAGGAGTAAATGCACGACGTACATACGCAGCTCGAGCCATATTTACATGTCTATGTACGTTACGTGCCTGGCCATATTTGAGAAGCAAGGCAAAACGATAGAGAGAAAAAAGAAATGGCAAACAGCCGATGCAAATATAAGAGCGATTGAATGTTATTGCATGCACAGAGGAGATCCTACTCATCTAAGTAACTAAATATGCAGACGGTACCCCAGATTGCTATTTTACATTTGTAACTGCGACCCGGGAAGCACATACTACCATGCCATCACAGAAACATAAACATAAATACATAGGTGGGTACTAAATATGTATACTTAGTTGTATGTATAGATATAGTCGGTTTTTTGAAATGGCTAATGTAGATTCATACATAAAGATTCGTCCGTGATTTTCTCGCTTACTGACACTCGTTTTTTTCCTCGACTCGGGCGTTAGTAATTGCTTGAGATGGAAGAAAAAAACAATTACTGTTAATGTTACGTACGGTAAGCACTCAGCTTTAATTTACTTGCTGGATCTTTTAATGTGATGACCATTTTCAACCTCAATACATACCCGGGTATATGCACGCTGAGGATGCTCAATGCTGACTGTGTCTAGTTAAGTTGTGGACGTGTGAATTTGTAATTGTGGCGTGTATGGGTAGTGATTTTTTTAAGTTTGAACGTTCATAAAACGAAATGTGTGCTGGGACATATAGTAGAAATGAAATTTCAACTTCAACTGCCCGTAAAACTTACAAGTAAAAATTTTGTTGCGACTTGTTTTTCCACTTGTCCGTTGAAGTTTCGCTTCTATTATGTGTCCCAGCACACATTTCGTTTTCACTGTAAATTATAATTTGGTTTGTTCACAGACCGCAAATAGAGGCAATGATGCCCAGGCACGTGCAGAGCAGAAGCAAGAGAACAACAGCTGAGCACAGCACACGCCGCCGGTACTCTAGCGGTACTCTACGCGGTCGTAACGCTTCTTCGTGATAGAAAAAATCATAATATATAGCGAATAGAAGTTAGTCGAGTATAGCTAGATGTTGTAAGAAGAAGGTTGTTTTATTATTAATCTGTAATTTAATAAACTTATCTATACGTTTAACTCCTAGTGTTTTCCTGATCTGCGAATGAACCAAGTGAATTATAAAAATATTCACTACATGTATATTATAGTAATGAGGTCAAGGACTATTCGTTGAAACGTCTAATTCTGTATTTTCTCAAATCATATATTAAAAATAAATGTATTTTTGATATTACAACCAAGTTATAGTTTATACTTCGTTAACCTATAGAATTTCATACGGAGACAAAATAAGCTGCAGTCTTATGCGTTTGTCGACCGAAAATTTGACGTGCATTTAAAACATTTAAAAAAAGGGTGGCGTTCTTATGATCCTAGAGAACTTATACTCTAAAGCATGATGATTCTGTTTAACTCTCTTATTGTCTTAATGATATTAATAGTAATTATTACTAGTAATTCGAGATGAAGACGAGAGTTGATTATCTTACGACCTAATAAATGGGCTTTATCTCACCAGTTTCACCCAATCAAGAAAGATTTCTTTGCAGGTATAATAAAAAGTAGCGAACCTTGTACTTGAGGCAGATACCGATTTCATAATCTTTATTTACAGCTTGTTCACTTCAGCATATGATTTAATGCGAAAATTTATTACCGACTATTACTATGTGTATTCCCTTAGGGATAAATTAATAGTTTCAAGCTGTTATAAAACACATTTTTCGGCGCTCTTCCGCAAGCCGTCGCATAGACGTGACAGAACTTAGGTACTGTAATTAGATTTAGCCTCAGCCAGGGCAATTTTTTAAAGGATGCGTTGATTTACGGCTGTTTAATCTTCGGCGAAGATTGCCCAGTATGCGGTACTGTTGTTTACACTCTTGTACGATATAATACAACATATTTATATCTAACAGATAGCTATATCTAATAGCATATGCCACACACATTT